GAAGCACGCGCAGCTCTTGCATCGCAAACATATGCACCATGCCATGGACAGCGACGCATGTTCACGCCGCCCAGGGCGCAGAGAGGGCCGACTGCGTCGCGGGGGGGCCCTGGCAGTCCGACCGGGCGGACTGGCCAACGCCGCCAGCGTGGGCGCCGGGGCCCGCGCCGCCAGGCCAACCGCGCCCGCCTCCCACGCGCGCCGCCGCCTGGGAAGAAAAGGTAGATGGTGCCACCCCGACGGAGCAGATGGCGCCGCGTCGGCATGCCCTCGCAGAACCTGCATCAGCGCACCTGAGGGGGCATCATCGACGCCGCCATCTCGGAAACGCCTGGCGCCGACAGCGCGGAGCTCAGGCGCGCGCAGAACGAGGAGGGCCACCATCGGCCCTGTTGAGACCCTTGCCATCGTCGCCATGGCCCCTGGGGCCACCGCCCCCGCCGACAAGGCAACCGCGGACGACGAAGCCGAATATGCTGGGGACTCGACTGGCCCATGCCGCCTGCGACAGCGGCGTCGGACCGCGCAGGGGCCGCGCAGCACGTGGCGAGCCTGGCGCGCCGCCGCGCGCGACATGCCCTGACCGACATGGCTCGCCGCAGCGGGCCGATAGCGATCTCCACCAACATGCAATGTGGGCGGAGGTCGCTATCGGCCCGTTGCCCACCTGAATGACTTCTTCCGAACATCGGAGGAGGTCATTCAGATGGGCAGACCAACGGGCACTGACCAAAGACGAGGCCTGCCACGGCACCGCTCCGGTGGCGCTCCGGCGGCGCGCGCAGCCACGGTGCAGTGAATGCACGACGGCCAACGCTGCCGCCGCGTTGAACAGCGCCCAAGCGCCCCGCGACCTCCGCCTTGAAGATGTGAAAGAAAGCCCCAGCAGTGGCAGACGCAACGCGCCACGTGGTTACGCTGAAGGGCCTGCCGCAGAGGGGGTCAACAACGGTGTCCACAAGCGACGGGCGCCAAACGACGAGCAATTTTGCCCCGCGCGAGAGGGCCAACCAGCGGGGGGGCACATTCAGTCGCGCCCAGCGAACAAAAGCGGTTAAGTTCATCTTCGCAGTGACCGAGCCGATCGCCGACGTCTTCAAGCGCATTTCCACGCTCCGCCTCGCCGCCGGCTTCCGCGACATACACGAATAATCCGAGCGTTTGGGCCCAGCGGCCAACGAGGCACTGGACTTGTCCCCGCGCAGAACCGATGGGGTGATCGAGCGGGTTCGCCTTTGCACCGATGGCGCTCGCCAGGCTGACTCAACCAAGGGTGCCTTCGCTGCGGTATCTACCTTCGAAGACGACGACGGCGCTGCCTTCCTGTGCGCCATGCCAGCCGCAGTAGCGGACTCTGCGACGGGCGACGTAGGCATGCCTGCGTCGACGACTGCAGAGCTGACGGCGCTCATTTGCGCATGCGCATGGATCTGCAGCCAGTCAGAGACATGCAGCATTGTGCCAGTGACGGAGCACACCGACTCCGAGGTGCATAGCCAATGGGGGCATTCATACCTCGCAGCATGTACGGCCTGGTCATCATCACCACCCAAGCTGGCCTCCGACGCTACCTGAGCATGTGCGCCCGCACGGGCCACCATTGGAGCGAGCCGGCTAGGTTGTCGGCGCAGGGGCAAGCTTCCGCGACGACGAGCCCCGCGGCCAGAACGGACAGAAGTATTTGATGCGCAGCATCACCGGCAATGAGAATGTCCGCAGCGCGCGGAGAGCATGCCCGGGCGCAGCCGACCAGGACATGGAAGCGACTGCACTCACCGCCACATCTGCGCCAGCGCGTTCCAGGCCACAGCAAAACCAAATTGGAAAAATGCAACGGTGAATTCCAACGCGAGGCCCTTGACCGTTTGCAGCTTCCATGGCCGACCTATGCCGGGAGGGGCCAGATGGGAACGGTTGCCAGGTCGAGGTCGCCAGCCACCAATGGAAGACTATGGACAATCACCGAGTCGGGATGCATGCAACAAGGTTACCAAGGGGCGTGACATGCGCGCGGTCTCCACGTTATCGAGTGGCCACGACATTTGCATTTCGGGCTGCTTGCTCCTCGTGAACCCCGACATCCGCTCGCGGACACCAACCGCGCCAATCATTACCTGGGTCATCTCGAGATCTCGCGCCAGGACCAGGCCTCAGGAGGGCCGCGGCCGTTGCTCATGCCACTCATGGGCCATCGGGCGAGGAAAAGGACAAACGCCTCTCGGGCCGCCAACGGCAACATCACCCAGAAGTTCGGCGTCAACCTCATCATGCTCGACGCCGACGCCACAACGGAAGAACGCATCACCGACGCGATAGGCGACCATGGAGAAAGATTCGAGGATGACGAGGCTGGCACGCGCTTCCACGAGTTTCTCATTGCACACCACTTGGTCGCCGCCAACTCTGCCGCGAAGTGCGGAGGACCGGCGTGCGCCAATTCAAGATGCGGAAAAAACCCATCGATGCATTCGGCATCCCAACCGCCGATTTCGACGGGACAACCGATGCCGCAGTCATCGCCGACGCAATCATAGCGCAGGGAGAAGAAGGGGACCTCTTCCCAGTGGTGCTGAATCAGAAGCATCGTGGCACCAACACCGCAAAGCGGACTTCGCTCGGAAAACCGTGGGATGGGCCAGGATTGTTTTGGGGGGTTTCGTTCCGGATTTGGACATGGATGTCCATCGGATTTGTCTTGGCCAGGAATGAAGACTACGGAGAATCCGTTTGGAATTCACGTCGTTTGTTGTTCGCCATTTCGGGGTGTTGCACTGGGGGAAATCCATGCTGAATTCCGCTGCAGCACGTCTGCGAGGCCGGTGCAATCAGGAGTGCGCCGATGTCGCAAATCCGACGCGCGCAGCTCCGCGCTTGGACCCAAAGAAGATTAACGACGCGACCCACCATCACCTATTCCGCCAGCAGATCAACGACAGTCCACTGTGCCCTCGGGGCCATGACATTTAACGACCACGCCAGCGACCTGAGCAGGAGAGCCAGGCAGGCAGCTGAAGCCGCCCTCAAGACTGACCCGGTTCGAGTACGAAAGCCGCGCATCACCGACGCAACGTTCGCGCTGATCAGGTTGAGGGAGGCGTGTCAGCGAGCGCGGAGAGAATGGGCAGGCGCGCCGCAGTCACGGCGAGCGCGCATGCGCGCGACCAAACTTGCAAACTTGCTGATGGCATCAACCATGGCAACTTACTCAGCATACGACGCAATGGGAGACTTTACCACGCTCATGAGTCTCACACAGGCCGCCGTGCAAGTTCTACGACACCACGTGGAGCATGACGACCTACGCCTTGCCTTCGAGGTATTTCCCCTCCCATTCGAACATGAGGTAACAACGAGGATGCGATATGACGAGGGCGCATGCCTGGACAGCTGCGCGGAGAAAATACGCAGCGCCGACGAATTCAACGACGACAAGACCGCATGGGAAGTTGTCCAACGCGTACTACGGCGCGGCGGCTGACCATCACGCATGATCATAGATCACACATGCAACATCGGCGCCAACAGGGGGCCGATCACAATTGCCAACAGGCCCAATCGCGGGCGGAACTTGATCACTGCGCCATAGCTAGCCACGCCATAATTCGGGATCGAGAGGATATCGCAAACACCCACAACGAGAACACGAAGCTCACCATCAACGTTCGAATCAATAAGGGCCCCCAATTGCGAACATCATCGCCAGGACCGAACTGAAGACGAGCTTTCACGTCGCCGAACAACACCGGCAAGGCGAACTTGACAACGTCCGGGGCGATCTGTGCCGCGTGGCCAGCGCCGAAATGGCCCGCTTGTACTACCCCTTGCTTGTCGCTACTGCGGAGTCCCTGCCCCGCAAAAGAGGATGACAAGCACCATTTGCCAGGAACCCAACGAGCAGCGAGCAACTCTGAGACCAACGAATGACTTGACCGCAAGGCACCACAACCCGACAACCTAGCTTCGACAAGTGTTTGAGGATCGAGGCCGCGACGTCCAATGTGGAGCTAGACCGAAGAGGAGCCTCGACTTCGTCACCCACGCAACCCTCGCCTGCGTCAGTATCCTGAAGCACCAAAGGACACGCGGGATCCTCATCTCCTGGATTACAAAGCGCCTTCTACACAATTGCTACAGACTTCCTCTCGAAGCTGACGGGGGGCGATGACGTCCAGCGCACAATACTGGACAGCATGGACATGCCCCCTGTGCCCCAAACGGTCCTAGGGCAATCGCTAGAAGGAACACCTCACAATGACACCAACATCGGCAACGAGCACATCGTCGCTCTACTCCGGGATGACCACGCAGACCTACGGGCGACCACGACAGGATCGACGCTCATTGCCCAGCCACGCGCAGTCGCGAGACCAGGCGTCCCAATGTCCGACTACTCTTTCAACGTCGGTTCCGCGAGGACCATAAAAGCCATTTCCACGGACAGAATCTCAAAGGGCATCCAGTACGACATCGATTACGACAACAACGAACGACCTGTCTTCGCAGGATTTCCAACAAATTGGGGTTCGACGGCGGATCGTCCCTCACGCGTCGGAAGGCGAAGAGGAGCGAGGAGGAGGAGGAGGACGAGGGGGAGGAGGAGGAGGAGGAGGAGGAGGAGGAGGAGGAGAAGGAGGAGGAGGAGGAGGGGAAGGAGGAGTTGTTGCTGCCTCCGCCCACCACCAACACCATCAACCATTATCACATTCGCTCCACCAGCCGTCAGCACATGTATCTTCACCGCTCTTACTGTCGTCACCACCATCATCAGCATTATGCGCACCAAGCATCACCGTCACCATGTCCACCATCACCGACACCACCGTCCTTCCACCAGGTTCGTCACCAATCGCACCAGCAGCGCCTCAATCTCCACCATCGTCCCCGTCACCTCCACCATCATAGCACCGTCACCATAACCACCACCACGCCCATCACCGTCATCGTCCGTCGTCCGCACTCTCCTTTTGATGAGTGCCGCTCGACACCGCCGCGGTGGAAAGGTGCTGGGAAGCTACCCGCGCCGTGCCGCCTCGCCTCTCAGGCATGCCGAGGCAACGCAGGCGCGCTCGTGCTCTTGACGGCTGCCACCCCAGGAGGATAAGGAGGAGGAAGAGGTGGAAGAGGAAACAGAGGAAGAGGAGGAGGAGGACGAGGACGAGGACGAGACCGACGAGGAGGAGGAGGAGGAGGAGGAGGGGGAGGAGGAACATGACGAGGAGGAGGAACCAGACGAGGAGGAGAAACGGGACGAGGAGGAGGACGAGGAGGAGCAGGGGGAACAGGACGAGGAGGAGGATAGAGGAGGAGGAGGACGAGGGGGAGGAGGAGGGGGGCAAGGGCAAGGAGGACGAGGAGGAGGAGGAGGCCGATGCCGAAGAGGAGGAACAGAAGGACGAGGAGGAGCAGGAGGAGGAGGAGGCGGACGAAGAGGAGGACGAGTGGGACGAAGAGGAGGAGGATGGGGAGGAGGAGGAGCAGGAGGAAGAGGAGGAGGACAAACAAAACGAATACTAATACGGGGAAGAGCATGCTGATGATGATGGGGGGAATGAGGAGGAAGGGAGCGAGAAGAGGAGGAGAAGTGGGGGGAAGAGGGGTAGCAGGAAGAGCAAGGGGAGGAGGAGGAAACACATTTATATTAATATGAAGAGCGGCACAACCAATCATCTGATACTGCGAATCAGAAGCAGAGGGCATACTGATGCACAGAGTAAGCATCACCAGTACTACTATTACGATGGACACTGGTAACACTATTAAGAAGAAATACTAATGTGAAGGCGAGTGTTACGACTACTTAAAAATGCGACGACTATAAACACACGATTATTCAAACTTGTCGGGGGGCAAGACGGAGACTGGCAAAGCTAGCACACATATCACTAATGATGATCCCGTGTGGTAATGCCAAGAGTAATGTTACGTGTGCTCGTACTAGTGCGAGTATTGCTACTGGGAATAATCATAATAACGTGAATGCGAAGGTTGTAATAACAATGATAAATATTACTACCAATACGCATACTAACACTAATACTCATACTAGTTTTACTCAGGAACTAATTTAAGTACGACTGCTACGGGCAATACCCGTTATACATAAGACACCTAATAAACAACCAACACGCAAACATAAGATGTGGAGGAGGCCGGCGAGGAGAGGGAGGGGAAAGATGGGGAGGAAGAAGAGGAGGATACTGAGGATTAGGAGGAAGAGGAGGAGGACGAGGAGGAGGAGGAGTAGGAGGAGAAGATGGAGGAGGAGGAGGTGGAGGAGGACGAATAGGAACACGGGGGAGGACGAGGAGGAGGAGGGGTTCGGGTGATGAGGAGGAGCAGGAGGAGGCGGAGGAGGGGGAGGAGGAGGAGAGAGGGGGAGGGGGAAGAGGAGGAGCAGGAGGAGGAAGAGGAGTGGGGGGGGAGGGGAGGGGGAGGAGGAGGGGGAGAGAGGAGGGGGGGAGAGAAAGAGAAGGAGGAGGAGGATGAACAGGAAGAAGAGGATAATGAAATAAGAGAAAAGGAGGAGGATAAGGAGGAGGAGGCACAAAACGAGGAGGAGGAGGAAGGATTGATGAGGGGGAGGGGCAGGCGGGGGAGGAAGAAGAGGAAGAGGAACGGGAGGAGGAGGTGGAGGAGGAGGAGGAGGAGGAGGAGGTGGAGAAGGAGGAGCAGGAGGTGGAGGAAGAGGAGGAGATTGAGGAGGAGGAGGAGGAGGGGAGGGGGAGGAAGAGGAAAAGATGGAGGAGGAGGAGTGGGACGGGGCAGGAAGGGGACGGGTGGGTCGCGGGTGGGTCGCGGTTGGGTCGCGGGGTGGGTCGCGGTCTGGGTCGCGGTGGGGTCGCGGGTTGGTTGTGGGTTGGTCTCAGGTCGCGGGGGGCGGGTTACAGTTGGATCCCGGGGCGGGTCGCGGTGTGGGTCGCCGGGTGGGTCGCGGGGTGGATCGCGGGTGGGCGCGGGGTGGGTCGAAGGTATGTCGCGGAATGGGTCGCGGGTGATACCAACAACGGCAAACCAGCAAAACCAACACCATCTACAACAACAGTAACAACAATCGTTTTGATTTTGCTCTGTCTTCTCTGCCCGCGTGCCATTCAAAACGTATATCCCAAACCCTCGATACCCGCCCTCATCGTCTTCGATCGTAGCCCCTTCGGGGGTGTATGTTTCTTACCGGCAGCGTGTATTTCATGCAGCCCTACGGCATGGGAGAAGAGGACGGATTGAAGACAGGGACAAGGAGGAGGGAGGAGGATGGAACACGAGAGAGAGAGAGAGGGAGAACGAGGGAGAGAGACAGAGGGAGAGAGAGCAGCAGGAGGGGGGCTAGGAGCGTAACGCACGTGACAGAACCAAACGGGCAGATCGGGCGGGTAGACCTTGACGTGCGGATCGAAAAGGCTGGCCCAGGCGGCCAGGTCGAGCAGGCGGGTTGCTGAAGCGTGCCTCTTGCATGACTCGTGTTAAGTAAATCGTGAGAAGCCAAAGCGAGAGCGTGAGTCCTGAGTTTATAGGGCGCGGCGTAATTCCTGAGTGTCGAGAGCGCGGGGTCTGAATCAATCATGAGGAAGTCCCACGCGAGGGCGCGATCTCTGCATACAGTGTGAGGATGTCCCGCGCGAGATCGCGAGTTGGGAAGTATCCGGCGGGATCTGTTCTTGTTGTTGTTATTGCTGTTGTTGCTGTAACTGGGGGGGCCCGCCGCCCAGTTTGAGGCTCAAGATTATCCCTGGTGCAAAAACAGGGCGCGAGCCCCTGGAGGGGCACTTCAATAGGACAAGTACAAGGGTTAACGGAAGGGGGTGTCAAGAATATCTATTTTCAGAAGTGAGAATTTACCCACAAAACCACAACGACAACATCACCAACAACAGCAATCAGTTTAAAATTGTTCGCTTATGCCTGTCGATACGTATGTCCAAAACCTTCGGTACCCGCCCTCGTCGTCTTCGGTCGTACCCCTTTGGGGGTATATCTTCCTTGCCTGCCACGCGCATTTAGTGCAGCTCCTAAAACAGGAGAAGGGAGAACGGGTGGAAGGGGGAGGGAAAATAATGGAACACGAGATCAATTAGCAGGAGGGGGGCAAGGAGCAGAAAAGAAGGGGTAGACAGTCCGAAAAGAAATGCTTGGACATGGATTTCGCGCTTGCCTGGGGGCCACGTTCTTCAAGGCGTCGCCATTGAGGTTGCAGTGGTACTGAATTCCTTGCGCGAAAGCGCGGTGTCCACATTTAGTCCAATGCGTGCGGACGTTTCGGCCCCATTGCTTTGCATGGCCTTGCGTTGCATCGAACGTGGTCGCATTGCAGCGCGTCGCCTCATGTAAGCGCGCGAACATACCACCAGCCTCCGGCGCCGAGTGTGTCCTGGCATTGTAAGACCCTTTGAAACGCGCGTATGCGTTCGTCGCCGAGGGTTTCGTGGCACTGTGGGACCATGTGAGACTTGCGGACGTGCTCGGCGCCAGGAGTTTCGGGCCATCGTGAGACCTTTTTGAGACGCGCGATATGTTCGGCGCCGAGGTTTTCGTGGCACTGCGAGACCATGTGAGACTTGCGGAAGGGCTCGGCGCGGAGGGTTTCGGAACGATGTGGAAGCCTTGAAGACGAACGGTTCCGTTCGGCGCTGAGGGTGTTGTGGCACTGTGAGACCATGTGAGGTTCGCGTAACTACTCGGCGCCGTGGGTTTCGGGGCGATCTGGAACCATTCCGGACGCGCGACTGCGTTCGGCGCCGAGGGTTTCGTAGCACTTCGAGACCATGTGAGAAGCGCGGATGTGCTCGACGCCGAGGTTTTTTTCTGGCATTTTGAGACCCTTTGAGACTGCTTGAGACCGCTTTGAGACCGCCATCGGACGCCTCTGATGTGTGAGTGTGTACAGTATCGCGCAGATTTTGAGACTCATCCGACACTCGTTCATTCTAGTACTACATTCGGAATCGGACAGTTTCAAGGCTGTTCGAGTGCAGACGGGGCCGCCGCCGAGCGGATGGGGCCGCTGCCCAGGCGCGATCCAAACGGTGCAGAAGTTTAGTCAACTTGCTGGCCCACGTCGGTTCGACGTGCGTGCAGCGCTGCATGTGACTGATGGCCGTTGCCGTTGATATGATGCGTATTCAAATGCTTCCACGCGACAAGTGAAGAATTTCGTTTCCATTTTAGCTCCGTCTGTAACCCGACGGGCAGATCGTGTGGGCAGACCCATAGCGGGCAGGTCGGGAAGGCGGGGCCAGGCGACGAGGTCGCACAGACGGATTATTGAAGCGTGGGTCCTGCATGGATCGCGAGGAAGTTTCGGGCGATTCCCAAGTAAATCGTGAGAGAAACCAAAGCCAGAGGGTGATTCCTGAGTGCCGAGGGCATTGCAAGGAAATCCCACCCGAGAGCGCGATCCGTACAGACATTGTAAGGAAGTCCCGCGCGCCAGCGCGATTTGGGAATACACTATGGGGAAGTAACGAGCGGAAACCGCTGTTGTATACGGGGGGGCATGGGGCACAGCGTGAGGAGGAACGTACTCCATGATATCTATAAAAAAGGGGGCGAACCCCAGTAGGGGCACATCAATAGAAACAGCACATATGTCACCGGAAGGGGGATCAACTATAATTGTTTGTTCAGAAGCCAGAGTCAACAACAACAGTATTAGTAGTAATAATAATTAACATCATCCTTATCACGGAATCCCCCTTCGGCCACGCACCCAGGGAGAGTGAATGACCGTTCGGCCCCCGCACCGATTAAGAAGACACTCAGCTAGACTCCTGGGGCAAGTTGTCTAGCGCAGCGGAGGTCGTCAACAGACCAGGCAGCGGGATCATAGGTTTTTTCGTTCGTTCTGGATCCCTTGGCGCCGCGCCTGCCCGTCGTCTGGTTTGCCGCCAGCTGTCCTTTCCACGGTCCGTCCGCCCCATTTGTGCTGGGGGCCCGTCGTTCGGCGCTGGAAGGGCGAGGACGGAAGGAGGAAAAGGAGGAGGGGGAGGCTGGGATTTACGCATGAGATCCACTGCTTGGGGATTCGATTTCCTAGAAACCCAGTGGTCAATGGATATACGTAGAG